CTCGACCTGAGAAAAGCGAACGTCAGGCGCTTTGATAAGCCAAGGTCTCCAATGTTAATGAAGAAGACCCCATGCATTGGCTTATCCTTGTATTTCCGCAGAGGTAAGGTGATCTCTGCGGCTTTTATCTGTGCTTTTCGCTGAACGGGTTCCAATTCGGTGACAGAATTGTTGTCACTTCATTTAGAGTAAAAAACTATACCGAGTTCATCAGCTGCTCGGGCAGCTGCCCTAAAGAGGAATGCTCCAATTCCTGCTCTCTCATGGTCACCGACCATGCCAAGAAGGGGATCCGAACTCATGACAACTTCACAGGCTGTATCCAGTATCATTCTGTCATGTAGACACTCCAAACTCAAAAGTCCACGGCCTTCCTGTTGTCGCGGGAAGTACTACCGTGGAACGGACGATAACTTTTGAATTCCATGGGAAAATAACTCGAGAACTAAATACCTGATTTTCTTGAGTGAACGAATGAATAATTTGAGAACAATTCATTTTTGGTGATATGAACTTACATCAGAATTATGCCAGGTATCCAAAAAATGTGAAGATATATAGGAATTTCGAAGAAGTTGGTACCAACTTCTGATACAACTGGAAGTGTCATATAACGTCATTATTATCATTCGATATAGCATGATGAACATTCAGGATGTAAATCCTGTTATTTTCCAAAATATGGCTAACCGACTGTCATCTCGCTGTATCCTGTATATACAGTGTGTCTCACTTCTCATGGAAACACCACCGTATATTCCGTAATATTCGAGGTGGAACGATGAAACTCTCAGGACTGATGGAAATGCTCAAAATGCACCTACCACCTGAATGGGGTTGGCCAAAGTGATATACACTGTCCGCTACTCGCGATGGAACACCCCATTTTCAGGTAAAACACATTACGGCGCAAAATAGTTCGCTTCCAATACCTGAACCCCTTCATTCTATCTGGAGAGTACTCTTAGATATGAAAGATACAGATGCTGTGACATGCTATCATCCATTTTGAGCCTATCTGAGGAAAATGTCACAGCACCACATTCTCAGATTAACGAGATAGTGTGAAGCAGTGTATGAAAAATTATCGATGGCGGCATCTATTATAACTGACGAAAATTATTCGTAAAACTAATTCTGGTTGCTGAACATCCAAATTCTATCCCAACAAGAAGTGAGAGCTCTAGATTGATGAGCAAAAAATGGAAAAAATCTATATTCAAAGGTTCTCATCTCGAAAACTGTACAAATCTGAGCTTTGGCTGCGAACACTTTCAATCAGCACATCAAGAACTACAACATATCAAAATTTCGGCAAAATTCAAGGCAAGCCATTTCTCATAGGAAATGTGCGGGGTCCTTTATCAAAATATTGAGGAAACATTTTACCATCCGAAACAAAATTAATCTTCATACTCATTGCAACACCGAAACAGCTGTTAATTTTTAAAGTAAAAATCGCACTCAGTGAACAGGTAGAATTTTGATTATTTTACCTACTTGCTGAATTGTTGTCTGGAATCATTTGAAGAGATTGAATTACATCAGTTTCATTGAATCATGCGCTGCCCTGAAATCACCATGAAAAACAGTTGCTCATTGATATTTACTGTCAACCTGACAATATTGTTGAAAGATCTTGTATTAACCCCCAGACCAGTTTTCATTGCATTTGTTGTTTCTAGTATTGTTGTTCTTTGAATCACCGTTGATCCTGTTGTTTCTGCCGTGTTTTTGTTCCCATTGTGTTTATTGTTCCTGTATTTGTGTTGGATATTGTTCCTGTGTTCCAGTTGTTTTCTGTTCGTGAGTTCCTGTTCATATTTTAATATTTCTGAAGTTCCCATTTCAACTGATAGCAGCTCATTTTGATTGACAAAGCACGTCTATCACTTCAAGCAAAAATTGAAATTGTTATATTTGTTGGTGAAGGGGTCAGGTCTTATCGTGAAGCGGCCGCTGAATTTAATAAAAGACACCCGCTAGAGGTAGCTGTACACCCTGGAACTGTACAAAAAATATATAATCTATTCGTGAACACTGGCCTAGCAACAAAGGACGGAAAAATTGTAAAACATCATATTGATGATGATACGATATTGGCGGCTCATCAAGCTGATCCTAAAATTAGTTTGAGAAACTTATCGCTTCAACTCAATATGAGCCGCAGTAAAATATGTAGGTGTTTAAAGAGGCATAAAATGCGTTCAAATCCAAATTTTTACATACTTTGCACGAAGTAGATGAAATCCGCCGTAAGGAGTATTGTTTATTTTCATAGAAGGCACGAAAATATAAAATTGTCAACAGTTAAATCATTTGAAATTGATTGTTATGTTTTTTAATTGATAATGTGATTTTGAAAGTAGTACTTCGAAAGAATTTTGAACTACATAACATTTTTCGCCACAAAATAACCTTGATTTTTTTTTAATTATGGGAAAATGAGAATATGTACTAACATTAACCATCCGAAAACCTCACCGATTACATGTTTTCGTTGCTCTTACAAAATTACCATTTTCTCTCTTATTGAGAAGGAATAACTTTCCTGACAACAAAATGAAAAATAAATTATTTATGTGAATACAAAAGTCGAGTTTCTCTTAAACAATTTCGTTCATGTTTTGATGTCAAAACCAAAAAAAATCTACTTCAATTATTACGGAAGATACATGGGTGTTTCCATGAGAAGTGAAACAAATTCGGATTTTTCAGGACTGAAACTTTTTCAGGAAAAAAGTGTTATCGTAGTAAGTTGATAGTCCTGATCACTAATCTGAAGGAATTTTGAGCCTATTTTGCCCCCTAATATGTTTTACCGTAAAAATGGGGTATTCCATCGCGAGTGGCGGACAGTGTATATCACTTTGGCCAACCCCATTCAAGTGGTAGGTGCATTTTGAGCATTCTCATCAGTCCTGAGAGTTTCATCGTTCCACCTCGAATATTACGGAAGATGCGGGGGTGTTTCCATAAGAAGTGAGACAAATTCGGATTCTTCTGGACTGACATTTCTTCAGGAGAAAAGTGTAATCATAGTAAGTTGGTAGTCCTGATCACGAATCTGAAGGAATTTTGAGCCTATTTTGCCCCCTAATATGTTTTACCGTTAAAATGGGGTGTTCCATCGTGAGTGGCGGACAGTGTATATCACTTCGGCCTACCCCATTCAGGTTGTAGGTGCATTTTGAGCATCTCCATCAGTCCAGAGAGTTTCATCGTTTTACCTCGAATATTACGGAAGATACGGGGGTGTTTCTATGAGAAGTGAGACACACTGTATATGCTGAAGTATCATCCTGGGTGTTCATCCTCATCCTCAAGTGAGACAAGATCTCACTTGAGTTTCAAGTTCAGTCATCAAGTAGGGCTCATTAATATGGCAAATGGGATCTTGCCGAAATCTCATGATAATGTCGAAGACGAACGGATTTACACCCAAAATGACACATCAGCATATGATGCCATGTGTAAGGTTAGCCAATACTTGTTTGCAGGAAACAACAGAAATGTACGGAGTCGTTAACAGAAGACAGCCGCACTTTGTGCTTTTGGTTAGTTCACCTCGGGTTAGAGATTATACTGAAGTCATAATGGAGCTACCCAGACGTCACCAGCTACCTGCGTGACGTCTGGGTCATAAAAATTAGGAAAATTCATGGCCAAAACAATCCGGAAAATGTAAACCGCTATCATTACGGTACGTTATCATTACGGTACAGCCAAATGCAAGTTTTGGCAACACTTGGTTGCAGAAAACTCTGGATAACTTAGTTAGTTTGTGTTGTTTCTGTATTACCTCTTTGTTTTCTTCCACTTGGAATGGTATTGTTTCCTGCTCCCATGCAGTAAATTATCTTCCACACTTTTGATAAAATCGACATTTCACTTTACGCCGTTTCTCTTACGAAAGCCACGATTTCCTAAACGTGTGTTCAAAGAATTCGAGTTTGAAGTTTTAGTCCATCGTTTATATTCACTTTCATCTCGGACTCATAACTCGATNATATCTTCTTGTTTCTTTGTTTTCTCTCGTTTAGTTTTCTTTTCTTCCAGGCTAGAACTAAGATCAACAGTACCCTTCCGGTACATGTTGTTTCTAGCCTTATTTGTAATTTTTTTTTAATCATTTTTATAGATTGTATATCTATTGTATTTATATGAAACTACAAATGAATATTATTATTATTTTATTTCAGATGAACATTCACCGATATATAGTGTTGTCCGCATACTCCCTTTCGAAAGTATAACTTATTATTATTATTATTATATTTCAGATGAACATTCATCGATATATTGTGTTGTCCGCATACTCCCTTTCGAAAGTATAACATAATATTCTTTTGGAATGGTGAATGATGTTATTTTTATACAAAAATCCGCGTAGTGAAATGTGAAATATTATGCAACTTGATAAGTGTATTTTCTATCCCTGTTTATATTGAACTCATGTTTGAGGTGGAATTGTAAAATTTTGATTATCAATCAGTTCATCCCAAATTATTTCTTCTGTTCTGTTTTTTGCCATCATTTCTTCTCAATTTCCACTCGTTCTAAAAATTAAACTCCGTATGATTTTCAGTGCTACGATTTTTGCGCTTCTATCGATAGAAGTGACCTTGGTTTCGTTAATTGCTAATATATGGGGTTTATTTGTTTTGCAGGTGTTGGGTGAATTTATATCTAAGTTGTTAAGTCTTCCGATGATGAAGAATTTGATACAAATCGATCATCACTTTTTAAATATTTCAGGCATTAATACGACCACATTGATTTCTACAATAGTGAAAATTGACACAGAACAAGCATTGCTTCCAAACATTAAAACTGCAATACATTTCTCGATACGCGTTTCACCTACAAGATGGACTGAAAAAAAGTAACCTGTTGGACTTATTCTACGGCAAAGGATCTGGTTCTACCATTCAGTTCTAAACAAAATCTAACTGATAACTTGAATATATATTTTATGTTTAATAAAATGACTGTGTACACTGTGTATTTCAGATGGGTTTTGATTTCTCATTTCAACAAAAGATGTGTTGTTTTGCGTTTCCTCGCCAAATGAAGTGCGATTTGCGATACATAGAGATAATAGTGGTATTCTGCCAAGTGCATGTCCCAAGATAATATTCCTAGGATGTGCGGGATTATTCCAAATTATTCAGCAGGATCTGAAAAATGAGATCTGAAATATTTGTGGAAGGGTTTCTTTTTATTCTATGAAAAAGAGACATTTTTCACAACGGGACAGCAATTCACTAAATCAGCTCAGTGTATTTTTATTGAATACAGTTGAACTATTTAAACCACTTCTTACCTATAAAGAATAATATTTCACAATTCAATCCAGTGCCATATCATTGAATTGCATAACTACCACCAAGTATGTGACGATTATACTGATCATATGTAATATTGTTAACTTTCTTATTTTGAAAAAGTTGGCTCCTGTGAATTTGACTGGGCAGTATCTGACATATTGTATCATTCTGACTATATCTCGAGTAAGGTCGAATTGGGATGTGTGAAAACCAACTGTATATGAAATTCCATGAAGTAACTCCAGGGTATTCTTGGCTTCCTTTGTTGTTTCATCACAAGTAATGATGATACGAGCAATTCCAAACTGAAAAAAAAATCATTTCAATAGACATGAGGATTGAATTTGAATAATGATTTTCTTGGTCAGAATTTCGTTACATGAACATGTGTTATGGTACAATGATTAAGTATAGCCGCTTTTCCTTCAGTTGAATTTTCAAAACCGTACTATATAATGAGCTCCTATACTATGGAGCAATGGGCTTGTTCTATGATTTTTGGTTTATAGTTCACTCGATAGAAATTTCAAATTGAAAAACAGTGCACTTTGTTTCAGCTCTCTAAGTACCGTAGTTTTCCCGTAATTAATTATTAAAAACTGAATGTGGTACGGCGGTGACGTCACGGCTCTATTTCCGCTTCTTGTTCGATTGACCAATAGGAACAATAGAAATGATCAACATGGCCAAATCGTAAACTTTACGAAGCCTATAATTCACAACACAACAACAAAATATTTTTTGAATGTTTCCTACACTAAATTAGTCAATTTCTACTAATTTTGGCCTTCCTGTTGTCGCGGGAAGTACTACCGTGGAACGGACGATAACTTTTGAATTCCATGGGAAAATAACTCGAGAACTAAATACCTGATTTTCTTGAGTGAACGAATGAATAATTTGAGAACAATTCATTTTTGGTGATATGAACTTACATCAGAATTATGCCAGGTATCCAAAAAATGTGAAGATATATAGGAATTTCGAAGAAGTTGGTACCAACTTCTGATACAACTGGAAGTGTCATATAACGTCATTATTATCATTCGATATAGCATGATGAACATTCAGGATGTAAATCCTGTTATTTTCCAAAATATGGCTAACCGACTGTCATCTCGCTGTATCCTGTATATACAGTGTGTCTCACTTCTCATGGAAACACCACCGTATATTCCGTAATATTCGAGGTGGAACGATGAAACTCTCAGGACTGATGGAAATGCTCAAAATGCACCTACCACCTGAATGGGGTTGGCCAAAGTGATATACACTGTCCGCTACTCGCGATGGAACACCCCATTTTCAGGTAAAACACATTACGGCGCANTTGTATTCGAACTGATCCAACAAAAACTTCTGAGGTAGTACCATTAATCATATGATAAAATTTAATGAAGTAAAATGTATCATACAAAAACTTCTGAGGTAGTACCATTAATCATATGATAAAATTTAATGAAGTAAAATGTATCATACTTTCAGCAACAGTATTAACTCCAGATAATACTTTCTGTGGAGAATACTTGAAGTTGACATAAAAAACTGTGTCATCAAATTCAATATTTTCTTCCCCCTTTCATTTATAGTCATAAAGTCTTGGAAGAGTAGAAGGATTGTAGTTCTTTCTTTTCAATACTATCACCCATTTTTTTTCTCATCATTGTATCCTTCGAGAATCTAAACTCATTATGTGCCTTTCCGCACAATTGAAACCAGCACAAGAATACACCGTATTAATATTCAAATATATCTCTAAAACACTTTCAAAACACACACAAACTGAACTCGATGAAAAAACGAATTGTTACATACATACATACATACATTTTTAATGCCGAATAAACCATTAAATTGTGATATGGGTACTCCATTTTTCTGAGAAAATGAATGATGATTTGAAATTTTCTGTGATTATTCATTTATTTTTGTTAGGAATGAAGCCAGCAAACAAATAAATATACAATAATAAGATCGCTCAAATCCACGAATTAAGCATAAAAATGGATAATAATATTTGCATTCCTGCCACCCACCACAAAATAAGATATTCAACGTTACTGGTTTATTAGCCATATTGTCATCCAGTGAGCCAGCTCCCTCTGTAGTGTATGCGAAAATGTGCTCTTTCTAATGTCAATGGTTACTACACATGATTTCGTATTTTTGTTAAAATAATTTCAAAATGAATGTTGAGCCCAGTTTTGTTAAAGTTGACTCCGACAACTCAGCAAGAGTCGATTTTGGAGTGATCGATGAATTTTACTTGAAAAATTTGCAATACTTTGGTGTCGAAATGAAGAATGAAAAATTGAAACGGTGGGTGGTATATTCAGTAGGTCCCTATTATTTATATGACATTCATTTCAGACTTTGTCTTTTATCGAAGAATGGAAAGTTTTGATTTGATTTTTATTTCAGCTCGGCCAAAGTAGTAATGGTAAAATTCAATTCAAAAATAACCTGAAAAAATATTTTTCGGAATGTAAACTAATGACACGGAATATGCAGCAAAATAGGAACCCGCCCAGACCTACCTTTCACAAAAAAACGTTCTTTAGTTAGATAATTGCAGAAGTTATTTTCACACCGAGTTGACAACAATAACAACAAAAATGGCGTCTGTTAAATTGGATCATCAGATCTGTGATTGGATATTGAAAACCAATACACTTGACAACTCCCCTCTAGAGACGATCAATTTTATTGGTCAACAGACACACGGCCAATTTAAATTCTTGCTTTTCGAATTGTTCTTTTTTTCTGCAAATATAAAGAGATCTTGGGACCTAACAATAGCATCTTGCCAATTTAATCGGTTATTTCCAGTTAATGCCTCTGTTAGATTGAGTGGATCATGGTGTTTTTCTTCCATCGTTCTAAAATTTTTAGCTTCGTTACAAACTATTTTGATGTACATGTTTCTTCGTCGACTATGTAATCTGACATCCAATTAGGTTTCTTCGATATTCTGCCCGATTTGGTAGTTTTTTCTGCATTTTCCCTCTCATTTTTGTTATTTGTGTTGTACATATTTATAGTTTGGGGCGTATTATCGATCAAAATTTATTTCAAAATTCAAAATATTCGTCTTCATATTAATATTACGAACCTCATCTCCTCCCATTGTTTTGTTTCTCTGAATATCTGGTTTACTATGCAACGCTGGAAAAACGTCTTCTTCAAATTTAACATCTCTGCTAATGAAGATTTTTTCCTTCTTTGTATCCCACAGTCTGTATGCCTTGGAATTGCTATCGTAGCCCAAAAATATGCAGTTTATACCTTTAGGAGTGAATTTACTTGTTCTTGTTTTGTTTACTGCCCAAACTATGCATTCAAACACAGTTTATACCTTTAGGAGTGAATTTACTTGTTCTTGTTCTGTTCACTGCCCAAACTATGCATTCAAACACCCTTGAATGAGATTTATTAATGGAGATCATTGGTTTCCATTATTGTATTGGGCTTTCTCCCTCGTTGGCATTTGTTGCACAGCGATTTCTAACATAGCATGCTGTTGCAAGTGCTTCTGCCCAAAATTTTTCAGGTAAACCTGATTCGATCATCATACATCTTGCTGCGTCGAACAATGTTTGATTGATCCTCTCTGCCACTCCATTTTGTTGCGGAGTCCCTGGAATGAGTAACTGATGTTGAATACCATGTTTTTGCAAATATTCTTTGAAAACATTTGACAAATATTCGCCACCATTGTCACTTCATAAACAGCAAATATTTTTCCTGTGTGAATTTTCCGTTCTCTCTTTATATTCCTTGAATTTGATGAAAACTTCATCTTTGCTCTTCATAAATCCAATCTCATAATATCTTGAATGATCATCTATGAATATGACAATGTATCTGCTATCACCTAATGAAGCTGGTGTGATTGGGCCTACTACATCTGAATGTATAAGTTTCAAAGGGGCTTCTTCTCTATTGAGACTTCGTTTTGGAAATGGATTTCTCTTCAGCTTCATCAGAGTTTTGTGCATTTCCGTCTTCTTTGAGCATTTTCTTCACAGTAGGAATATTTAAATGAGCGAGACGTCTATGCCATAATTTATTTTCTTCAGAAATGGCTTTATTTGCAGAAATATTAGCAAATGACTCATGTTGCTCCGTATTAGTATTCTTCTCTTTTATGTAAAATAATCCGTTGATTTTGATCGATTTTGCAACAAGTTTTCCACTTGGTGCAATTATTTTCGAATGATTTCCCTCAAATATTATTTTCAGGCCTTTTTCAGTTGCTACACTCGTCGACAATAAATTAGTTCTCAGTTCTGGAACAAATAGAACATTTTTAAGTACTATAAAGGATCCTTCATTTTCTTCGTCCAATTTCAGTTCAATATCTCCAAAACCAGGGATAGGGATCGTCTTTTCACTAGCTATTTCTACAACTGTGTTTCGTTTAGTGAAATTTATGAATTTCTCAGAATTTGACGTCATATGATCGGTAGATCCACTGTCTAGTATCCAAGTATCTCTATTTTTTTTATCATTCACCAAATAAGAAAAATGATGTTCATTTTCTTTTTCTTCCCTTCGTATAGCACTGAATGCAAATTTCGAAGTTGAAGCGTCTGACTTTTCCAACTCATTGGAAAATATGTCTTGTTTCGTTTCTTTTGCTGTAAACAAAGGACAATTTTTCCAATGTGACCTATCTCCAGACATCTGTAGCACCTCAAATNTCTTACTCTACTCGTTTGGAGTAGTGAAGTGGACTCGGGAGGAGCTGTATCAACTCGACGTAAAGACCCGAAAAATGATGCATCCCTATAGGAGTTTGCATCCCAAATCGTCCGTTCCACGGTTGTACTTTCCCCGACAACAGGGAGGCCGTGGACTTTTGAGTTTGGAGTGTCTACATGACAAAATGGTACTGGATACAGCCTGTTAAATCGTCAGGAGTTCGGATCCCCTTCTCTGCATGGTTCGTGACCATGAGACAGCAGGAATTGGATCATTTTTCCTTGGGGCAGCTGCCCGAGTTGCTGATGAACTCGGTATAGTTTTCGACTCTGACCGAAGTGACCACAACTCTGTCACCGAGTTGGAACCCGTTCAGCAAAAAGCTCAGATGAAAGCCGCAGAGATCACCTTACTTCTGCGGAGATACAAGGATAAGCCAATGCATAGGGTCTTCTTCAATAACATTGGAAACCTTGGCTTGTCAAAGCGCCTGAAGTTTGCTTTTCTCAGGTCGAGTGGGCTGAAGTCGGAAACTGAAGGGTTTATCATGGCTTGCCAGGATGGTCCGTTTAAGTTGTTTACTACCATTGAACTTTGTTGTTGCTCATAGATACCTGCATTGCCTGAGGCCAGTATGCAGCAAACTCTAGGAACCTGATTCGGTCCCCAGCGGGGCAGCTTTGTGCCTGCCTTTGTGCTCTGCTGTTTTATCATTTTCCAGACAGAGGCGACACACACTATATTTCGACAGTCCAAGTCTCTGCATATGATGATTCAGATGACAGTAACCTGTAAGATGACCTGTTATATATCGTAGTTCATCCCTACTGTTGTCCAACAACTGTTTGGTATCAAGCTTCGAAGGGTGAATAAACGCCTTGGAATGAGCCAATCCTGAAAGATTCTGCCAGAAGTCCATGAATCTTTCTGTCATCCAGATTTTCCGTGTTTGTTTGGCAAAGCTCAAAGCGATGCCAATGACAGGTTCTGGTCCGATGAAGCCGCTTGCAGCACCTTCCTTTGCCAGAGAGTCAGCAGCTTCAATGGCTTCCAGGCCAGTATGGCTTGGAATCCAGACCAGAGAAAATCTGTTGAGTCTTCCTATCGAGGAGAGTCGTTTTTGGCAGTTTGCTACCAATTTAGACGTTGCTCGGTAGGAGCCAAGAGCTTCCATTGCCGCTTGACTGTCCAAAAATATTTTTATTGACTTGTGAGTGAGGTTGGATTTATCCAATCTCTCCGCACACAATTCAATAGCGTAAATTTCCGCATGAAATACAGTCACACAAGTTCCTAGGCATATAGATAACTCTGTCCTGGGTCTACGATTAAAAACACCTGCACCAGAACCGAAATGTGTTTTTGATCTATCTGTGAACCAACAACTATCTGTTCTCGATATTTCCTTCTCCCGCAGGATCCAGTCCTCCCTACTCAGGAATAATACTTTATAAGGCAGTTCATAGTTGACAGTTGGAGGCATAAATTCAGAGGTCATTTCCAAAATACTGTGACTTCCAATGTCAACCAACAGTCTGTTGCACAAGTCTGTATGCAGTCCATCTAGCCTCTCTCTCCAGAAAAATGTGGAGAGGAGGTAGATCTGACGGTGTGGTACTGAAGGCACTACTGATAGCCAGACAAGCCTGTCTCTGTCAGCCAGAGAGCCTCGCTTGGGCCGTTTTTTGTATAGCCTTCGGCCACCAAGCAATTGCGCCTTAAGTGATCATTGGTCTGACGATCATCACATAAATCCAATGGATTTGTTTGGGACCTAAACCACAAGTTTTACCACAAATCCTTCGACATGTCCATAGAGACAGTTTGGCTTTGTGTAAAACTTTTTCCAAGTGAGCGTTCCAGGTGAGTCTTTTATCAAGGACAATGCCAAGATATTTAACCTCCGTTTCAAATGGAACGACCACACCATTGAGGAAAAGTAGCGCTAGATTGTCCAGTTTTCTCCTCTTGGTGATCAACACAGTTTTGCTGAGATTGACAGACATCTGCTCTCTAAGGCACCAACAGTGAACAACGTCTAACGCGCTTTGGAGGATATTACAAGCACCTTCACGGCGTGGACCTTGCCAGGATGACAAGGTCATCTGCATATGCATACGCTTGTAGATCGACTTTTCTTCTGTCGAGGGCATTGAGCAGACTATCCACCAGGAGCGACCACAGAAAGAGAGATAGTACCCCACCTTGAGGGCAGCCCCTGGTGACCCGGAACCTGATAGCTTCGCCTTCAAGAGTCGTAGTTGCAGTTCTGTCTTCTAGCATGGCATAGATCCAGCCAGTTATGGTCGATTCTATACCCATCCTAGCCAGAGACAATCCTGTAGATTCAGGTAGTGCATTGTCAAATGCTCCCTCAAGATAATGAAATACAGCAACCGCAATATCTTTGTTGTCAAGGGAATGGAAAATTTTCTCAACGAGGTTGTTTAATGTTGAATTTGTCGATTTGCCAGTTTGATAGGCATACTGGTGGTGATTCAGGGGGATGCATATAATACTACACTCCTGGTAAGTCCTTTCAGTAGGAAGGATGTAAGGAAGATTAGTCGTACCGATTTTGGGTGTGGGTCTCTCCGGCCCACTTTACGTATATATACTTACTGCTACTTACTGCTAACCAGCTGGTACATATTTCCACGCCACACTAGCTCTATACAATTTTGTGAGAATAGGTAAAATTATTTCCAGTCCGTTTTGAAGAAGATCTGGGAATATACCATCCTCTCCAGGAGATTTGAAGAGCTGAAAAGACTTGATAGCCCATTCAACTACAGGTGCTGTAGTAACGTTTTTTGCGACGTCCCAGTCATTCTTATTTGGGCATATAGCGCCCTGTTTTTATCAAGAGTCAG